TTTAGGAATGTTATTTAGCTTTAAACTTTGTCAAAAATCTCTTGGATTTGTTTAATTGTGGAATTCAAAACGCGCTTTTTCAAATGATTATTTTATATCATTTATGAACTACGAATACTCTTCGCATAAGAACAAAACAAATACTTTTTTCGCTCGTTCGTCATGCTAGTTTGCTTCCCGTTTTCCGGTAATGTTGTAGCTATGTTATCTACACTAAATAAAACAAAATAGAAATTTTCCTAACCTCTATCTTCACACCGTGGGGAATTATTTTTTTCCATGATTTCTTCAATAATTTTTTGTTTCGTTTTTACAATATTTACAAAAAAAAAGATAGTTAAAAAGCTCGTTAAAAAAAGTCGTCATTTTCCAAGTGACGTGTGATTTGAAAGCTCGACCAATCAGAAACGCTAGGTACACCTGGCGGGCGACACTTTTAGGGTTACGCACAGGGTTCCCATGCGATGACCACGAAAACTGAGTTGCATAGTTTACCATATTCTATACCTATGGTGCTCCGCTCGCGCGGGGCTTCGGTCCGCGCGGGAACTCCGCTATTAGATTGGCTCTTGCAACTGTCCGTTACAAACTGTACAATTAATGCTAAAATAGGATAGTCTGTCAGCCAATCAGATTTAAGGAAATTGTAATAGTTATGATGATGATGATCATCAGCATCATAATCGTCATCATCATTATCATCATATTATATTTGTCAGAGCAGGCTCATAATTTTGGCAGGTTTCGCTGATTTGGGCCGCTGCTTTCACTTTTACTCACTACCACTTTTTATGCAGACAGTGCTCGACTTACATGTTGATTTTTACGGAGGAAGGAAAACCGGAAAACCCGGAGGAAAACCCTCGTGGCAAGGGAAAGAACAACACTTCAAACAAACTCAATTCACATATTGTTTCGCCTAACGTTTGGTGGTACATGAGCATTTGTCCATTCAACATTGCTAGAGGGAGGTGGGATTGGACGAAAAGAGTTGCTTCCAAATGGAATTGGGCTTCCTGGGTTGTCCTTTTCTTTTTCTTTTTCTTTTTTTGATTGTAGATATTCTCATTATGGTCCACATTTTTTTATTTCATTAGTTATGACTCTTCACATTCTCTTTTCACTTTTACACCTCAAGCAAGTTTATTATTTACAGAGCCGGGAACTTTGTTTTTATTTATACATACCAAGGTGAATATCTTTTTTTAAGTTCCAACTAGTGCACCTGCGAATGTTACTTTGCTTTTGGTGAAACCAACCAATGCCATCGTACAGTGGAAAGAAATACCTCGAAACCAGGTC